TGAAGGCGAATAAGGTTATTACGATCAGCCAGATGAATATCGATGCTGTCGAGAATGACCCGATCGTAAACACGATGCGCAATAACCTTATACTGTCGATTAAAGAAAACATCGAGTGGTTGAATTTTCGGTGTTGTTTTAGGAGGAATTTCCATTCGCTTGACGCCTTTCATCTTTTCATAAATTCCCTTTCTATCTCCTTGGCCTGACCCGCTGTCCGAGAGGAGAAGCACTTTGCGTAATGAAGAGATAGCAGGTACAAGCACATGATCTCGCCAATATTCGACTAAAGACGTGGTTAGTTTCCCCGATCTACTACAACTAACCACAACAGAGAAGAGATTAGCCTTGGTATTATCGCTCATGCGGCCATCGCTCTTTTAAACAGATAAATATGGACCTAACGACCTGTCCTGACAGACTTATTATTGGCTGTATCGTATAACTGTGAGTGGTGGCATTGAGCGAACAAACGGAAGATGCTGTTGTCTTTTCGCCTTGATAGCTCAACGTTCGAGTTGAATGAACTTCGAGCTCCATTCCCATCTGATCTGTATTGAGAACGTCAACATTATGGTATTTGGGCAGAAGAGCGCGAACTTCGCGGACAAAATCATCGACCGATTTCTCGATTTCTTCACTGGTTGTGCTCTCCCGCTTTGTAACAACCTGTGACAGGAAAAAATTTGCTATGTCTTTAACTCTTTTTACAAAGAACTGACAAATCTACTCGGCGCAAATCAAAGCTACTGACCTTGGTAATTTTTCGAGAGCAAATGTCGTGTTTGTGTTTAAAATTGCTAATCGAATGATCTGATGCTGTGAAATCATTGATTGGCATTTCGCGCGCACATTGATGGGCCCATCGTTTCGAATCTATATCATACACCGGACGAAGAAGATCACGAGCATTTTCGAACTTGTCGTAGACAAAGTCTTCGAGAGATTCGGTCTTCTGTTTCTTCGAGCCACTCTGTTCAACATATTCTCGAAATCTGGCCAAGTAATATTGATACGGGATTCGTTGAAATTGATGTTTGACATTGCTCCAGGAGTGTTTACGTTTGCCCGTTATTGGATCTCTAATATCATAATATTCGACAGCACGTTTCATGTAATTAAGAGAGAAATTCTCAAATATGGGAGCTTCAGTATCTTTTTCTTCGAAGTCAGGATCTGTTGTTGAAATATCCGTGTCTTCTTCACAGCCCTTAAGTTCGGAATCGGGTATACTATGATCTAGCGTTGTGTCATAATCATGTGTGTACGAATCACTGGTCAAAATCGAATTCAGAATGTCAAACAGATGGTCGGCAATTGCTTGTTCTTGTGCAAATGAAGATGTTCCACATGTTGAGGGAGAATGTGATACTCGATCGGCTGAGAGCTGCACTATTCGACTTGCTGAACTCATTCTTTGGAAATGGCACTACAATACTACTATACAAGCACAATATGACTATACGTCCGCAGCCGATATGCATACTCTCTATCATTATATTTTTCGTGTTCATTAACTACGAGCCATTGGCTGTCAGATGGTATAACTGATACATGTGGCCTGTCATTCTTCGTATGTGTGCGCTTGTCAAAATGATAATATTCTTTCAAATAGAATCGGGAAAAGAATAAGTATGGTTCAAGAGGGAGCAAATTTTTTTGTCCTGAAGGAAAGAAGAAAATGAGTCGAAATTTTTATCATATATTGCTGATGACTAGTCCTGCCTATGCTAGAAATATGAGCTCAATCGAAGCTTCCATCATCGAGCAGGCTCCCATGGAGTAAGTCAAATTAGCACGCTTTCGAATGAAAAATTCGTATCTCCCGGACAAATGAGTTCAAACTTACAGATAATAACTAGGTACATGACCACTCCTCATATAAAAAATATAAGTCCAATTAGACCCCTAGGAGCCGAGAAATGAAACCTTTCCGAAAAAATTTGAGTTTTTGTGCGAAAACTTGAAAAATTCATAACTCTGCCAGGAAGCACCATGGGGATGAACCAAGATAGGGTATTTCACTACTCGTTAGGGCCTTTCTAACAAACATAGTCCCAACATGAAATCGATTTATCACCTCGGGTGGTTCCCTTCGTTTTCAGGAAAACAATTTCACATGTCGAAGAGTGTCTGAACGTGAACGAGGTGAACCTCGACGACAGATCGGATGCGGTTATGTGCCTCCAAAGGTATTCATTTATTTGTCGATGTCCAAACATGACCCGAAACAACTAGCATTGGAGAAAGATCGATCTTCTCTTCACTCGTTACTAACGATTTTCCAGCGAGGATGGAACAACAGCAGAATAATATGAGCTTTGACTGATAGTTTTGTAGCATTTAATATGATTCATGAAAATAAGAGTTGCATGACAACATAGCAATCGCTGCAGAAACACTGTAGTGAAAACTCGCTTTATGCTGCAAAATGTATTCAAAACTTATACAGACAGACGTGTATCGCATTTGTGCTTTTTTTAGAGATGTCTGTGTGACGTAACAATAAATGCACCCCCGGCTTTCTTATTTTTCTCCTCTTCTTGACACGTAAAAATTTTCTGTTCAATTCTCTACGAAATGGTATACTTTATTCATCAAGCAAAAACCAGATATGAGTATTGTTTGATGAATGAAGCACACAATTTCGTAGAACATTGAAGAGAGTGTGCGAATTAGCTCGATTAAGTATATAATTGATTTAATGAATTTCAATCGGATTTTTCAATTCAAAATTAAATATACAGGATCAAGAAAGTAGAAGGTAAGGCCACGAGCGGGTGACTGAATACCGGCGCGAGATCAAATATGAATGTAGTAAAGAAGCCATATAGAAGTCATTGCACCAATTGACGATTCAGTGTTAAAAGGTCGAAAGGCAAAAGACCGAAAGGCAAAATCCCGAAAGAAAAATCTCGAAAAAAAATCTCGAATATGCAAAATCTCAAACGGGCAAAATTTCTAAAGTACAAAATCTCGAAATTGTTCACTGTAGTCGGTACTGCTTCTCGAACTCGTCGAAATAATGTCTTGACTTTTCTTCTCTACGTTCTTCGATGACTTGCTGCATATCATCTTCATTGTTGTCACTTTGAACTCTATCGAATTCATCACAAGTAACAAGGAAAAACCTCTTTTGGTTCTCGATTCCGACGTGTATCAATTGAATAAGTCGACTGTGAAAGCTAAGTACTGGAGATGTGAAGTCAAGTTTGCCCTGGCTACCGTACACACCGATGCAAATGACCAATTTTTTAAGAAAGTTGGTGAACATGATACCCATCTGTCGTTACCAGAGAAAGAATGTCGAGATTGACTTAAACGAATATCTGCTAGGTTTATCCTTGCTTGTGACCAAGGATGTCAAGCCAAAAACTGATCTTGTGATCGGCTCAGGTTTCTTTCTCTCGAACTTCTCCTTTTGTCCTTCTCGTATTCTTCTCTCGACCTATTATCTGATCTCTATGGGCACCAAGTGGTACCATGGTGTTCAGTTCACTGTATGTGGTCTAATGTGTCGATGGTATAAACGGCCTCAGCGTTTTATACTTTCGACATTTTGCATTTCGAGATTTTTAATTTTTCAACATGTTACATTTCAACATGTTACAAGAAAACGTTGCCTCATAGATGGCATATCGAGTTGTGGACGGATTTCAGCTATACAAAACGTGTTGTTTAGCCTTGTGATAGTAAGTAGAGGCATTCGTGTTACTAGCATCATCATTACTGTTGAAGAATCGGTTTATGTTGAAATACTGTCCGATAAAAAGCCATGAAATGGAAGCGTAAAGAATGGGGCGCTCAGTGTTCGGACTCGGCACGACCGAATCCGATTCGTCAATGAGTTTCAAATAATTATTTTCTATTTTCCCTTGCACCGAACGGTTGTTCGCGATACACATGATAATAGCCGTCGGCTCGTTTCAGTTTCAGTTGCATGCTACACAGTTGAATCGATCGAACGGTTTCGATGCCGAAATGATGATCAACAAGTTCCGAATTCCGTCTTTCGTCCAACACATCGACACCTGGAAAATGGCAAGTCCGTTTTACTGCGCATCGATTCATTCGTTCACTTTTCGTACCTTTTTGGTGGAAATCAGCTGTTCGTGATAACTTGAAGAGAGTCGCATGTGCCTGAAACGAACGGTCGTCGGCCGCCGCTATCCCATTCTTGGCAAACGTCTCGCGACAAATACCTTAGAGAGAAGGGGCCGCCTGACAGCCGTCGAGTACATGTCCGATTTTACTGGAAGAGTGTCAGAACTTCAAGATGATAATCTTGTAAAAAATGAAATATCTGTGATAAGTAAAATAGTACAGTTCAAATAAAAAAGAAAGCATTTAACGAAGAAAACGAAGAAAAAACATGTTTTCTTCTCATAGAACAGTATGAGAACAAAAACACATATTCTTTAATTTTTTATAAATACTTTCGATTATTGTTCTGTCATCTTGCAATTCGGGTTCTGCTTCTCCATACAAGGCTAATGCAGCATTCAAATTTTTTCGAGCGAGAATATTATCCTTCATTTCGAGATATATATCAGCTAATTGAACATAGCTATTGACTATTTTTCTTGTATTATATTGAATTTCAGCTCGTTTTTCTATCGTCATTTTCAGTTCATATTTTTCCAAACTATATTTATGTGTTTTTATTTGATATTCAATTGCTAGAGAATAGTTCTTCAAGTCTTTCAAATAGATTGTTGCTATTCTTTGGTGAAGACTAATAAGCATAGGTAAATCTCGTTCGATTTGCTGTGAATATATGCGAATCGCACCTTCATAGGCGCGTATAGCTTTGTCATAATCGTGTGCTAATTCACAAAGTCGACCTAGACGTTCGACACAAGGTACGATGTCGTAATCGTTATAATTGCTGTCAGTTGACATATTGTTCAGAGCTTGTTCTTGATATTTAATCGCTAATGATGCATTTTCATTTAACTTGTCACTATCATCAGTCTTCGATTTTGTTTCATACATTTCAGTTAATCTGTTCAGAGAATCGACGCGATCACAGTTAGCAGCAGTTGTATTAACCAGAACTGCTTCACTGTACGTTTTTGACTGATCGTAACTTTCTTCAGCAAATTTTTGACAGCAATATCCAAGCTGATTATAAAGCATAGCTACTGCATTGATGGCATCAATATCAGTTTCACTGAATTCTTTCCATAAATCAATTGCTTTTTTATAACTACGTACGGCTAATGTATAATCGTTCAATACCCATTCTTGATAGCAGCCAATTGCATCAAGCTTAACAGCTGATAACCAAAGGTGCTCGTTTGGAAACAAATCATTTAGTTTAGTAAAAATGATATCTCTGTCATTTTTCGGAGTTTTGTAAAATAAATGTTGTCCTAATCGTCTGACGTAGTTTTTCAAATTTCGACTTTCATTTTCGTATTGAAATTCCACTGATAAATTGTATCTTAACTTCAATCTAATTACTGTCCAAAACTTCTCGTGTAGTACAGCAAGTCTTTCGAATTGAGTTCCAGGCATAAATAACACTTCTTCGTCAGCTGGTATATAACTCAGATGTGCAACGGGTGCGTATGGGCGTGATAATAGGCATGGATTATAATCAATTTCAAATAGCACTTGTCGTGAATCGTTTGGATCAGAATACAGATCTGCTACCGATTTTCTGTAAGACGTCGAAAGTAAACTAGTATTGGTCAAATACTTTGTGTAAGGTGATTTTATACGATCAATTTCTTTTTGTGACATAATCTGACTACGATACACTGTTAGATCTGATGTTCCATACTCTTCGGCCAGGATTCTATTCTGTTTAAATTCATCAGCTAATACTTTATAGATATCTTGCACAAAGATTCCAAATAAGAATAGTAATTCGGTATTTTGCTGACGAAAAGCTTGATTTATAATGGAAAATAAGAATGAAGGACGAGTATACCATCGTACAGCATTCTTTAACTGATAGTCGGCTTCGAACTCATCTACTTGACGTAAAGTCTGTTCATTATTACCAGTGGCTTTATAATAAACTTTTAATGTATGCACTAGTCGTTTAAAGTAGCCTTCTGGATATGGCAAATGGCATAAAAAATCAATATATTCCGTCCACCAAGATACGAAATCATCTGTTGTGTTCTCTGTTTTATCAATTCGATCGAAAATCTGGCAAATTGTGAAAGGTTCCGCAGCAGCATATAAGTCCTTGATTAGTTCTTCAATATTTATGTAGATATGTTTTATCTAAAAACAAGATATTCTTATATTTGTTAGGTTGGATAATCACCGAAAGTAAAATTTTAACTTACTTTTGGATATTTTACAGACAATTCTTGAAAAAGGTTTATTTCATTTTCACAAGGAGTAGAATAAATATAAATTAAGTGAATATGAGTGAAGTTATGAAGTTGCGAAAGCAATAATTCAGCAAGTGTAGCTGAACATACCAGTAGTGTTGTTATCATATTTTCTTCAATGTATTGACTACAGTCTACTGGAAAAAGAAAGTAGTGCGTGTAATCGAATATTTTTCGTAGCTTTTGAAGAAGATCGATAATCGTTGCTTGCTTCTCGCCGTTATCTAACCAGACTAATTGAAGTGATTCAAGTTTCAGTTGTTTATGAGTAAAGAGTAAGTCTGTCTGTTGAGGTTTGTCTGTGGTGTGTCGAAAATCAGTAGTCATTTTAGATAGAATACTCGGTAGAGTGTTGTTTGTTTTTTGCTTTAGTAGAAATTTTCTAACATAAGAGACACTGAAAGCACGTTTTCCTTCTCATCTTTCTTTTATAACAAGCGTTAGTTTATATTTGAGAGAGAAGAACGGAAAAAAGATGTGTTTCCAATTGTATTTGTTTCCGACAGAACAAATAAAAAAAACTTCAAAAGAAAGCAGAACGAGCAAAAAGAAAATAGATAAGGTTGTGTGAAGTGTGCCAAAGTTGACGTGAGCCAAACCGGAGTGCATTAGTCCACATTATACCGCTATATATATATCATAGAGAGTAACCGAAAGTTGTCCTTAGCTGTCGATCAAGCGTTCTATCAGAATTTTTAATGAACTCCTTCTTTGTATCGTAGCTCATTGAATTTTAAGAGAATGCGCAAATGTTATGAGTTCTGCGATAAATAGAGAATACAACGTGGTAAAGTCAAAGTAGTCAGTGTTTATATCTAGTTTATTTATAAGTGTTAAAATGGTATATTATTAAGAGTCAATGTCTGTAAGAGTCAGGTGACTCGGGAAGTTGATAGTCACCGAATTCCATGAAACTTTCATGGACACGATGCTTGTTGTCCAACAGCGTTGCCAGAATTTTAAAAAAATGTGTTGTTGAAAAATTATGAGGGCCACAAGTATCCGTGGGACCAAGGTATACCCAACTACCTGCAAAAAACCAACTTAAGGAAAAAAAATCGTTTTGGCTTGCCATTCTGCAGAGCTTGAAAAACTGTACATTTTTCCTGCTGGGGGCCGATCCCGATATTGAACGCCTACTGAGATACGTCAATATCAAAGTCTCATACTTTTGCTACTTATGATTCGATACGTATCGTCCAATTTTTTTCAACAAAAAGACGATATCAATATGAAGTATAAGGTATGAAAAGAAGGCATTTTTCATACTCTACAAGGCGGCATAATCGAAAATAATATACCTCTCTCGGTTGTGGAATGGCTACGCCACAAGGTATAACTATGGCCAATTTCTACCAAGAAGAGGGTGAGATGAACTTTTCTCAATCACCAACCTATTCAATTGCTTTTCTAAATATTCAGAATTAATGCTAAGAGGATTCCCTACAAAACTATTGGCGAAACAATTTTTTCTTACCTATTTAAAAAAATTTCGTATGCTGAGGATCTGTCGGATATACTAATTAATGCTGATAATTTTCTTGTCAAAGTATCTGGCAAAGGGAACGACGGTCATAGCAACCAAGTATACCGTTGCATAGCTGGAAGTTTGCCCTACAAGAATATAGTCTAACATCTGTGGGCCATTCAGATACGTAAATCAAAACTCAAAAACACTAAAAAACGGCGAAAAATGAGCGATTTTGACCCCCATCTCACATTTTTCAGTTCAAATATCAATTTCCAAGCAAAACAAGCTTCATATTCGTGATCAGCACAAAAACTGATTCGAATGATGTGCTTTTCGTGGAGAAATATTTTTTTTAAAAATATAACCATTTGTGCCCCACGGTAAATTTTTGGAAAAAGCCCGGGAAGGGCCAAAAGTGAGATTTTTACAAAAAATATTTATACACGAA